TTACTTTCTACAGGATCAAGACTCTATATTTAAAAAAAAAAGGGCGGGGGGAGCTTTTGCTCTAAATTTAAGCCCAAACCATATGTGCCTTATGAGATGTGGGCACTCTATTCGATCAGCAATAAGCTAAAAAAGCATTGTAAGATATGTCTAAAATGAAAAAAAATTAGGACATAATAAAAGAAGTAAAAATAAGATTAACACTACAAACCAATTTACCTGTTGATGCTTTTTCTAAAGCATTGTTAAGTAAATAGTCAAAATGGGTCAGGGTAACAACATCAGTTTTTGCCATGTCTAATAACATCTGTCCAACAACATCTGTAAGTAAAATGAGGTATAATATCATCTGTCCAACATCATCTAAAATTTCATTGAAGTCTAATAACATCTGTCCAACAACATCTAAAATTTCATGAGTATCTGTGCAAAAATTAAATGAATATTACAGATATAGTTACATCTTATCAAAGTGTAATAGTATCTGTGCAATTGCATCTTTGGAATTACAGACTTAGTTGCATTTTTTAAATTATCAAAGTGTAATAACATCTTTGTAACTACATCAGTGGGTTCTACAGATTTAGTTACATCTTTTAAATTATCAAAGTGTAATAACATCTTTGCAACTACATTTGTGGGTTCTACAAATGTAGTTACATCTTTTAAATTATCAAAGTTTAATTAGATCTGTGCAACTGCGTCTGTAGATTTTAAGATGAAGTTATTTCTAAGATGAATTAACTAATGCATTATTTTAACCAGATGTAGTTACATATAGGATTTTTTTCAGATGTAATAACATCTGGAGAAAATTTTTCCAGATGTTATTGGACTTGGAGAAAAATTACTAGATATAGTTACATCTTTCTAAGGATGTTGTAAGGGGTCTTTGAATTTTCAGATGATATTAAATAGATGTTTTTAGATTAAAAGAAAAATACAGATGATCTTGGACTACTCCACAGATGTTGTTGGACAGATGTAGTAATCTTTTACCATCAAAGTCTGTAAGAAAAGACATTTATTGCAAAGACAATTAGCTATTACACAAAATAACAAAAACATAATAGCCAGGGATCAATTTAACGGTCAGACATCGCCGCCCCTCGGTCATTCTTGAGACCTGCTAGAGGAGGGTAACAAACTATTTTTAATTTTTTCATTAAAAATGAACAATGGTTGGTTGTCCCCATAAATCAGATCTCAAAAACAGTCCTGGGGCAGCGATGTTCGACTGTTAAATTGAGCCCTGAATAGCTATAAGTGCAAAAAAAAAATTGTAATTTGATCAGAAATTAAAATTATTCTTACCTTGATTTAGATAAACTAATTTATTTTTAAACTATTAGCTAATAATCAACATAAATTTAAATAATTAAAGTTTATTAAGTTAAAAGAATATATATATATATATATATATATATATATATATATATATATATATATATATATATATATATATATATATATATATATATATATATATATGTTATATATATATATATATATATATATATATATATATATATATATATATATATATATATATATATATATATATATATATATGTTATATATATATTGATATATATATTGATATATATATTGATATATATATATTGATATATATATATATATATATATATATATATATATATATATATATATATATATATATATATATATATATATATATATATATATATATATATATATATATATATATATATATATATATATTGATATATATTGATATATATATATATATATATATATATATATATATATATATATATATATATATATATATATATATATATATATATATATAAAACATTAGAATATTATTATAAAGAAAATATTCTCTATACAAAAAATCCTTTGTTATATAAAATACAACCTTATTTTTTGTAATACTTGTTTAATGACATACCTCACAATAAATGTACAACAACTTAAAAAAAAAAGATCAAACTACCTGGTTTTATATGTTATAAAAGCAAATAAATTTTCTTTAAAATAAGATGTTAAACGATCTTGTTTTTTAACATGCAACATAGGGTTGACCGTGTGAGATGCAAAGGTTTTGGTGATAAACACTAACTTTATGAAGAGTTTGACGTATTGACCTTTGAAAAGAACATCGTCTTCTAGAGTCATCATCGTCTTCTAATTTTTAAAAACAAAAATTACAGATTAACATGCTTTAAATACAAATGACAAAGGACTTAAATTGTGTTATTATTTAAAAGCATGAATTAAATAAATTACCTGACTTTTAATGTTACTATACTAATTTAAAAATAACAAAAGGTTTATCCTTTATTACATAAGTCATCAAGTTAAAAAGTTTTCCATCTCATTACTAATTAAGCTGACAAAGCAAAGTTTTCGATCTTATTACTGATGAAGCAGATATTAACAGATTATCAAGATTTAAGAATCGCGTGGTCAAAAATATAACGAGAAATATTAAAATCCAAGCATGGTAAATCTTATTTATAACAACATAGAATTTTCTTCTTCGCTTCTTTGACAATTTTTTTTCCTTGTCTGATCAGGCTACTTTTGTAAAGGTATTTTATAAGCTAAATGAAAAAGCAATTCAAAGAAGCGGATCCTTGCATGAAGGATCAAGAGTCCAAATGAGAGGGCTTCTGTATTGATTTGCTCTTTTTAATTAAATTTATTAAAATCTTTGTCCACAAATGTAGCACCTCAGACTAGATGTAGTATCAGTTGCAGCGTTGCATAATTTACCATTTACCATTGTAAAAAGCAAGGTATGCTTTATTTTTGCAATTTGATTGGGCAATTTTGTTTCCCTAAAGAACTTTGAAAAATATTTGCATCACTGTCAGTATTATTTTGAAATTTTTGCTTAAGTTTTGCTTGCTGTGATCCATCACAGCCCCATTTTGATAATAAAACCATAATCTTCTGTTCTTCTTCTGAACACTTTTCTACCATCTCTGAGACATACTTATATAAGCGCAATGTGGTGTGGTCAAGTAATTTTTGTAGTTGAATTTCAGCTGAAGTTTCGATTACTTGTATCGATTCCTTATCAGTGTAACATTCGTTTTTAGCTTGTTGTATCGATTCCTTATCAGTGTAACATTCGTTTTTAGCTTGTTGTATCGATTCCTTATCAGTGTAACATTCGTTTTTAGCTTGTTGATTTTTTGAGTAGCAGGGATTTTTGTTTCTACTTTGAATCAGTTACCACTGTTTTCTGGTAAAATCGCCTTCCACAAACAGCTTCAGTGCCTCTTGAGGTGTTAATTTATTGACTGTTACTCTTTTTGAAACAGAGTTAAATACTTTTCGGGATTTCTTTGCTCTGGCAGGCGTGGAAGTAATTTCTTTAATAAATTTTGTTTCATCAGTATTTCCTGAAGTGCGCTGGCTCACTCTGGCTGCATATGTCAACTCATCATCAGATACCTGCTCGCGCAGATCCATAGTTTTTAGACGCTTACTGCAATCACTAAGCTCTATAAATGATTTTGATTGTCGTCCAGGTCTCTGTCGAACGTTTATTGACCAATAAGATAGTTCGATATATGATTTGAGCCGTTGTTTAAATTTTATTTATAAAACTTTCGTGTTTATAACTTGCAGCCATCCATCTTTTCTTGAAATCACTCTTAAAAAATTTTGAAATTCTTGTTATGGCACTATTTTGATTTCTTGGATATAAATGTTTAAAGTTGTTCTTCCAACAAGAAAACTTTTCTTCAAATTTTCTAGCTTTATAATCTTTCATTATTTCATATAACTCTCTTTAAGTGAACAGCTTTTTTACTTCAGACGAGTCTACAAGATAAATAATAAAACAATAAATACTAAGCTGGGTAACGGTGCTCGTAACGATCGACAAATAAAACATTTGTTTGAGATTTTATAGTTTAATAGTCTCATATATTATTTAAGATTTGTTTACGTAGTTTAGTTAAGTTTGTATAAAACATTTTAAAATCAGACCTTAAGAATTTATTTTATAGCTGTTTTAGTACTTTTTACAAGATTGTGTATATTACGTAATGGTTTACACACTATTTTCAAAGCGTTAAAACAAAAGGTGGCGGACGTTGGCGGATAATTTTACAAAAGTATCAGATTGATAACAGCCTATATTTATTGATCGTAAAAAAGTTTTAACTCGACAAGACCATACTTGTCAACAAAAACATTATTGTCTTATAATTTTATGTCAAAATTAAAACTCAAAAGGCCATCGCAAAAGCTCTCTATATTATGCACAATAATAACCGAAATTTAAAATGATTTTATTTAAAAATATAGTACATACCTTCCCCCTCAGTACATATCTTCCCCCTCAGTACATATCTTCCCCTTCAGTACATATCTTCCCCCTCAGTACATATCTTCCCCCTCAGTACATATCTTCCTCTTCCATAATTAGAAGTTTAATTTTTTTAAACTGAAAAATATGATAACAATCGCTGGAATAACAAATGTCACAAATTTTCGAATTAAAAAAAAAAAATTCAAATAACATCTGCACGTTCTAAATGAAAATGTGACAAAAGGAAAAAGCGAGAAGAATTTTTTATTTTTTGGGCGATTTTGTTATACAAATATTCCACTGTGCGACGGAGTGATTTTACCACGACTCACAATTGATTCTAATAAATTGATACTTAAACTCTAATAGACTAAATTCAGTATTAATATTGTAATTTATTTTTGAAAAAATTAATTTTAAATTAAATCAAACATTATTTATAACTATAACAGTCGTCAAAATTTTTAAATGTAATTAGTAGCAATTGTGGATATTTACCAGAAAAGACTGGGATCGATTTTCATCTTTGAAGTTTTTATTAGAATTGTTAATTTAATATTTTATAATTATAACTATATACTATATTTAATTTTTTAGTTTAATTTTTTTTTTCTTGATTTGAGACGAACTATTCACCTTTATTTTTATTAATTTTTTCTTTATTCTTTATTTTCTTATCTTTTAGATAAATTTGATTATCACTATTCTGATGGATCATGGTATGTTCAAACTCTTTGTCATATTTTAAAAGAACATTCAATCAGGATGTCACTTACTGATATGCTACAAAGGCTCAGTAATAAGATATCTAAAATAGTTGCAAAAACTAATGGAGAAGTTTCAGTTGAGGAGATATTATCAATACATAGTAATACTTTAAGAAAGCACTTGTTTTTTAAGCCAAGAGGAATATACATTGACAAAACCTTTAAAAATATGAGCATAGATGATGGAAAATCTCCATGCATTTGATTTGTTTTAGTATCTTAATGTTTTCTTTTTTAATTTTTTTAAAATTAATTAAAATTATAAATAACGTTTTATATGTTTATAGAAATAAATTTATTTTTATGTTTTCTTACCATAGATTAATTTTAAACTTTAAAAATGCAGTAAAACCTACAAAACAATAACACCTACAAAACAATAACACCTACAAAACAATAACATCTACAAAACATAATTATATTAGCATAAACAAAGTGTTCTAACATTATGTTTATTTTTCGAAATAAAATATACGATGACTTGTTTTTATTGTAAAAAATTTTTTAAGAAAACTAAAGATTTTACCGATTCATTAGATCGTGTATTTCGTGTACACGATTTAATCGTGATCTGATTTTTGTGCAGAAACTAGTGCAGCTCGAAAAAATGCGTTCAATATCTGTTGAGGTGGGTTTTATAGAGAGTATCGATTTGTAAATTTTTTCAAGGTTTTCTGTTCTTTTGCCCGTATTTCGGTACAACAAAAACTCTTACTTAAGGTGGTACACCAGGGAAAAAACAAAATTGTGAAATATTATATAAAATGTATCTTTTTAATCAAAACTAGTTTTAATAAGTTGTTATAATTATTTTTATTTAAAAAGATAAATTTTAAAACTTATTAAAAATCAATAATGGTGGAAAAAAAGAACAACAAAGGCTTTATTTCAAAACATAATATCTTGATCTAGTGAAAAGATTATGGATTGAAAATCGATACAGTTATAAAACAACTTATTATACACCGTTTAACCCATGCATTTTTAAATTTTTTTAAAAATTACTCTTTTTATCACGAGTTTACTGAAAAAATTGCAAATTTTTGACTTTCTCTATAGATTTATAGCAACAATTTTTTATTTAACCAAATCCAAGAAAAACCCATGGGTCAACCGGAGCATCAATATTGAGTAAACATTTCTTGAAGATTTTAGCTCATAAACATAAACTTTACATAAGTTATCATGTTTTGAATTTTAAAGAAACCCTAAAAAAACACCCTAATTCATAACGTAATTTTTGCATTTTTTTTGAGTTTTTTTTTAAGTGATTTTTTTAAATTTCAGACATTGTAGAACATAATTAGAGCATTTTTATTGGTTAAATTTGTAAATTATTAGGTCTAATTCATCTTTTTAATAGGTTAGATAGATTTTAGTTACCTAACAACACCCATAGCAACCGTTTTTTATAGATAATTTTAAAATTAGCACCTCAAGAATCAATGAATATATATAAGAAATAATACTGTTATGTCCTGCATAGGTTTTTGATAGCTTTTGGCTATATTTTAAATGCCTATCACGATATTTGCAACTACTGTAAAGTGATTATAATGTGAAAAAGCAATACATACATTTAAAGTTTTATTTTAAATAGAAGTAAAAGTCTTAATTTCTTTCACAAAAATGCCAATATCTACTAAATATATTAAAAGAAGAGTATTTCAAGGTAACCAACATGTTAGGAATCAAAGTATACATAGTTTTAACCAAAAATTTGTTGAAAACAAAAAAGGAAGTGCGAGTCAAAAAAGTTACAACATATTTGTTGAGTTTAACGATGTAGAAAAAAGCTTGACGAGGATAACTATAATATTATATAACTATAATATATAATAAACTTTAAAGTTTTAAAAACAATGTTCAAAGATTGTAAATGTAAAGAGTGTTGTTCGAATGGTGGAAAGTTGTTTCTAAAGAACAACTTACAAAATAAAAATGGCTTTTCATATGAGTTACATTTATCATGGGATAAATGTGAATTTATTTCAAAATATGATACATCTCTTCAAAGTTGTAAATAAATCTTAACATCTTCTGGAAAACCTGTTGCAGATGTAAATTTTAATGCCATTGTAGCTTTTAGAGATCTTGGCAAAGGTTATCAATCTTTGCGTACTTTTGCAGCATTCATGAATATGCTACATCCTATAACCCCAAAAAACTTTAACTACTTGATTAACAAATTACACAAAGCATATGAGACTCTTGCTATTCAAAGTACTACTAGAACAGCATGCCTGACCAAAATGGCTCTATGTGTTGATCATAATGAACCTATAAGCTGCCAGGTAACGATTGATGGTACCTGGGAAAAACGTGGGCATCAATCACTAAATCAACATCAATCACTAAATGGTATTGTAACCATAATTTCAAAAGAGAATGGAAAGTGCTTAGGTGCCATTGTTCTTTCAGAAAATGAAAAAGTGTTTTTACTGGAAAACTAAAACACTTAAGCCTGGATATCTTCATTGGAAGTTAAATCATGTATGTGATGCTAATCATGAAAAATCATCTGGAGCGATGGAATCCCGTGGGGCGGTGATATTATTTTCTCGATCGTTAATGAAGAATAATTTAGGATACACTTCATATATTAAGGATGGTGATACCTCTTCATTTTCTGATGTTGTTTCCTTAAAACCTTATGGCGATATAAATATTGAGAAGCTAGAATGTGTTGGTCACATTCAAAAACGAATAGGAATTCGTCTTCGTAACTTTCGCCAAAGTCAAAAAGCCAAAAAGTTTATTGATATTAAACTTGGTCAAATTAGTCTAAATGGCAAAGGTAAACTCACAGACAAAGCGATAAATTTATTTCAAAACTATTATGGCATGGCCATACGACAAAATGTTGACAATCTCTACAATATGCAGAAATCGGTATGGGCTGTGCTTTTTCATAACTCTGACATTGACGATAAAAATATCCGCCATCAATTTTGTCCAAGGTCAAAAACAAGCTTGTGTTTATGGCAGTCTGAAAAACTAAATAACTTAATTAAATACTAAAAAAGGTTGAGCCTACCATTAGCTATTTACAAAGTTTTAATTCCTATATTTAAAGACCTATCTAATTAAGATTTGCTAAAAAAGTGTTATCATGGTCAAACACAGAATATTAATGAAAGCTTAAATCAGGACCGACGACACGGGTTTTGAAGTGGGGGGGGGGGGGCATAATCATCAGTTTGTGTAAAAAGTCCTCTATATCAATTTTTTTCTTAAAAAAAAAAATAAAAGGAGGGGGGGGGGGGCTGGACTTGTAATTAAACTTGTAAATCTGTAAATAGTGTTATTTGGAAAAGATGCCCAAAAGATATATATGTTGGTAAAAGGTCTTTAGAACTATCTTTAAATTCAGCTATTATTTTGTTCAATGATGGTTTTCAAGGAGTTATAAAAGTGTTTAAAGTTTTATTCATTAATACTGGAATGATGCTCCTAAATTATACGATGCATAACGCATATCAAAAGGAAATCATAAATCCACCAATAAATGCAAAGTTAGAAGGCAAAAGTTGAAAGGAATTAAGAAAGGGTTCTTAAATAAAGAAGCAGCAGAAGAACCTGTTCCATTTTATGAATCTGGAGCTTTTTCAAATAAATTGTATTGTTTTGTTTTGTGATTTTCTCCACATTAGCTTTTCAGCGAATTAAATAGTGTTTAAAAAAAATATCTCCTGATATCTTCAGACTGGCCAATTTTTGGCGAAACGGTAACAACAAATTGGTCTAGAGGTAGGAGGAGGTTGTAAACAGTAACGGCGAATATATAATTGATTAATTTATTGTTATGATTATTGTTTTTTGTTTGAAGAAAGCTCTTTGAAAAAAACCGAACGAACTTATTCCCCAACCCAATAACATTAACCAAAAACGTTTCTAAAATTTTAAAAATTTCTTTTTTTGTTATAAACTTGAATGAACTTAACGAATTTACCGTATCTTAGAATCCTTTTTGAAAGGTATTCCATACTTTATGAAATGCTATATTCTGAATGTTTATTTATAATCGGAGGCATTTTATATGTGTTATACTTGCTCTAAGATTATAGTTTTCATTTTTATTTAATTCAAACTTGTTACTAAAGCGTACAGGAGAGATATTGTAACGATGTAACGATGCATGAAAATTAAATGTTAAGAGATATTTATTTCTAACACATTCATCATTTTCATATCTTTCATAAGAGTTTAGCGTGTTCATGTCTATCTTTATAATTATTCTGCAAGCATGTTTTTGTAAACTATAAAGTTTTTAAGTTTTGATGTTTGAGTAGTTGCCCATGAAAAATTTGCATAGCTGGTGAAGCTATGAATTAGTCCAAAGTAAAATAATTTAAGACTTTGTGTATTGACGTAAGAGCGAACTCGATACATCAAGCCTATGATTTTGGTGATTTTTGACTAGATATATATTATATTAAGAAGCCAGAATAACTTTTCGCCTACAATAATTCCTAAAAATCTTATATTAGACTGCTTTTTAATAAGTTAATCATTTAGGAAGAAGTTAGGTAACTTGAGAGGAAGATTTTCCTTTTGTGTTTTTTTATGAAATAGTATATACTTTGTTTTTTTTGAAATAGTATATATTTTTTTGAAAGCTAAACTGATATGGGTAAAAAAATTGTTTTGAATAAAGTAATCATAGACTCTATTATAAACTACAGGTTCGAAGAATTTTGAAAATACAGAAAGTATTGATATAGGTCTGTAGTTTATCAGTCAGAATGATCATTACGTTTGTAATGATCATTCTGACATCTATCCCGCGACGTTTGTATGAGCTAATTAAAGCTCATAAACAAGACAAATATTATCCGATGAGGGTCGTTGTATCAACTATTGGCACACTTTGTTATGGAAATTTTGAATTACTTGGTTAAAAGAATACAACCGGTCTTAAATGAAAATCCTATTGGATTAAAAAATTCAAAATACTTTATTAACAAAACTCGCGGTTAATTGACAAAGATGAAATACAGGTATCCTTTGATACTGTGAACTTATACCCATCAATACCATTAAAAGAAGCAACTTTAATATTTTTGGATCAGTTAAATAAAAGCGCTTCTTACAAAAACTCAACTAAACTTACTTTAGCTGAAACTCAACAAATAATTGAACTTTTATTTGTTTTGTTGTTATTTCTTGTGGAACGGTGTGACTCATGAGTAAGAGAAATCAGGCCTAATTAGATTGTCTTTTATGGTTGTTTTGGCTGAATCTTTTTTACAATACCATGAGGAAAATGCAACAAAAAATGCAATGACAATGATTTCTTCAATTGATATTAAATCCTTTCATAGATATGTAGATAATTGCCACGCTAGGTTTTCTAACTTAAAGCAAGTGGAATAGTTTCAAACAACCATTAACAGACAACATTCTTCTTTAAAATATACTATTGAAGTTGAAAACAAAAATAAGATACTTAACTTTCTGGATATAACTGTT